CATTTTTTTTTCTCTCTTAACTCAGGTCACATTTATTTACTAATATTTTGTTTTTAATCATGTGAAGCATCTATATGTGGCAGATGGAAAAAAAAATATCAATTTGGCATATTAGATGGAATCATAAATTATGTTCTCTACCAAAATGGTAGACTTGTCAAATTCTGAACTACATGCCTGACAGTAAAGCTGCCGTATAACTTTAAACAAGTACAAGATTCTCAAAAAATCTCTAATGTGGCAAAGAAGTCTCCAAAGAAGAGTGGACTCAGATTCCCCTACAGTGATGTAAAAGATTGCTTGCAGAGTGTTAATGTAGCTGAGGCCAGTTTAACTACTTTTTCACATGGAGCCAGGTTGGTTTGCGGTATGTTTGTTCCCTTACTAATTGAAATCATCTTTTGAAAGTATCTTTTTGTCTTTAGTCTGGTTATATTTGAAACCCTCAATTATGAAGTTTGTTTGATAATCTGAAAAATTTGTGTGACACAAAGTCTGATGCAGAAGAAATCTGTAAGGATGATAAGTACGAGAGTGAGTACATGCATAGTTCTGCCGTTTACTCCACAATTTAAGGAACCTTTAACAGCATAACGCTGGATTTACAATTATTGCCTCTGTGTTTGATGTCAGACCGCTGGCAAAGCCGACTCATTCTCTGCTGTTGCCAGAGTGGCAGGCAGCGAGAGGTAGAGAGACAGACTCGTCCTGACATATGCTGGCTGAAAGGAGACCGGAGCTCTTGCAGCGAGCCCCGAACTGCTGGTGCTGTACGCTGTGTGTAGCTTCAAGGCTGTTCAGTGAGAATGGCAAGGCGCTGCACTGGGTAATTTTCAGCCTGACTTTGACTAAGCAAAGCAGCTTATGTAAGATTTTGGGTCCTTGGTGAGATCAAGCAAATACCCTCCAAGGCCCTTCAGAGCTTGTGTTGATAAATGTGTTGCTGAATAGCAGCCCACACTGTAAAACTTTAAGCATCAGCACTACATGCATTGGCCTTTGTCAGTTTCTCCCAGGCTGACTTTGTTGAAGGCTGTCACTGAAGTGGCTGTGAACTATCTCGATTATGCAAAACGAGCAGAACTAAGCAGAAGTCTTGCATATCCATTACGTTGGTTCAGTTTCAAATATGGCTTTCTGCTTCTCCAAGTAGCACTAATTTCGGCAAGGCAATTTGTCTAGTAATGTCCATGAATGAATAGCACTCAGTAGCAATGTAAGATCAGTAAAAAGGGTTCAAACAGATTTGAGCAACAGAAGTAGGCCTGCTTCACCATATCTGTATAAAAAACATAAAATATGCACAATCATGTTAAGAAATTTGAGCACCCTATAAAATATTACGTTCTTCTTGGGGGAAAAGTGTCGAAATATCAATGTATAATTTTGTTTTAATATACCTCCTGACATGGAAAAAGTAGGTTATTCGCAAGCAAATATTAAAAATTAACCTTGTAATACCAAACATTGTCAAAAAATACTGTATGTATATTCTGAGGAAGACTTTAAAACATGCAAAATCTTAATAAGTAGTGTCACCCAGTTTGTGCTAAAATAGCTTCAGTGAAATGCTTCTTGCCGCATTTCTTAGTTTTTAGGCAGTCCTCTGTAGATTTACTGCTATGTTTTGGGTCATTGTCATGTTACAGGGTACAATTCTGCTTTATTTTTTTCATATATGAACTCATAATTTCTTCAGGCATCCTCTGACATACACAGGAATTCATGGTGGATTCTATAGAAGTGAGCTGGCCAGATCCTGATGCTGGAAAGCATCCACAAAGCATAACACTCCCATCTCCATACTCCATAGTTAGTGTAAGGTCCTTTCCTGGACATAAATATTCAGTTTTAGGCTCATTTAGCCAAAGAACATTAATCCATAAGTTGTATATGTTCTCTCTGGCAACACTTTGTCTTAAAAAGCGAAGGTTTCCATTTTGCGCATCTCGTATTAAAGGAGAAGTTGCACAGTCTCTTTGTTGTTGTTGGACAGGCATGCACTTTGATATCAACAGTAACACCCTGCTGTAGGTCTGGTGCTGATAAATTAAGGGGGGTTAGAAACTTCTCTTAGCATCTTGTGTTCTGCTGTCAGGATGAACTTGCTTACATGGGCATGATGGAAATTGTTTTGAAAGTTTTCAGCTTACAGATTATATTCCGTACAGTGGATCTGCTGGTTTCAAATTCTTTTGAGACCTCTAGAAATCCTTCACCAGACTCATAAGCTGCCACAATCTTCTTTCTGCAGTTCTTAGATAACTCCAGCAGTCAGGAGCACATCAAACTAAAAATCTTAAATCTAATCATTTAAGAGGACCAGATCTTGTTCAAAATCCAGAGTAGCAGGTTTCCTAATCACGATAATATGGTATTTTATATGGAATTTTATCCATTGAAAATTGGAGTGAGCATAGAGGTGGCCAACTTTTTATGTTATTTATGTTATACAGATTTTTTTTCAGCTTTATTTGCTTATTTAAACAACTTTCGATATTGTTTTATTGGGTATTGATATCAAATATCCTTATGTCCAAAGATACTAGCAAACACACAGGCTTTCAGAGGGTACCCTAATTTTTCTACGACTGTATATACCTTTAGAAAAGAAAATAACCTTTAAAACTCTAAGTCTTTTTCCAACCCATGCATAGAGATCACTGCAGCAGCAGGGTCAGGTTTGTCTCTAAGAGTGAATCATTTTTCTTCCATAAAACATTTTTTTCTTCACACTTTTCATCAGTAACAGACTCTTTCATGAGGAGTTCCAAGGCCACCTCCTACAAACGGACTCTGTACTCCTTGAAGCTCCTTTTGAAGGGTTTTCTATGTTGGATCTTCTTGGATGACATAGATTCAGATCTTCATAATTTGTGTCCTGGACGACCCTTTGATTAAGAATGGAGCTGCAGGTTTTGTTTGCTCTTTTGTTATTTTATTTTATTTTATTCTCCTCAAACTTTACGAAAATGACAAGAACAAAAAAAAAAAAAAAAAAAACAAATGCCAAGCTATTAACTGCAAGTGCCATCATGTTGACTTCTTCGGCATACTGTAAAATCATTTCTTGCATCACTTTTAATAGGTTTTTAACTAAAACAAAGAGGGGAACAGCTCCCTCGTTTAATATCTAAAGTGTATGCCTGTATTTTAGCATTCTGTGGCCTCACATCTAAGGCGACTGTCTATGTTTTAACTCTAGAACCTATAATATGAAATTCTTCAAGAGGATTTTTTTGTAACTATGCTGCTGAAAGAGCATCACTGAGACTAATAAAACACTTCCATTAACTTGGAATGTGAGATAAGTCTATGATTACTAGATAAAGTAATAAAAAGGTAGTTGTTAGCTGAAATTATTTTCATCTCTTGTATATCATATCTATTGTAAGAATGAATATAATGCCAAATATGTATTATTTGTAAAGAATAAATAATATATATATATATATATATATATATATATATATATATATATATATATATATATATATATATATATATATATATATATATATATATATATATATATGCTTCATTGGAACAACTATTTTCTTCTTTGTTCATATTTTCTGTTTCGCTTATTTTATAACTTGATATGATGGCATGCAAAAGACATATTTTGAATGTATTTATTTACTACTTTATTTCATTCAGAATTACAGCACTGTCCCATTGATGTTTTCTGATTATTTAGACGCATTTCACACGTGCATTTCTCAGTGTGGGTGACATCTGTGCAACATATTGCATTTTTAGCTTTTCACTTTGTATGATTTCAGTTAGACATATGCATCCTCCTTTCTTCTGTCCAAACTGAGCAACTTGAAGATTTTCCCCTCTTTCCAGTTTGGTCGTTGCTTAGGGGTCATCCATTGTAAATAATATTGCAATTAAATTTTTGTAGAAAAGATTTGGAAAATTTCTTCTGAGTTTTGTCTGTTTATTTCATTATTTACTTCTGTTTGTATAAGTGTAAACTCATTAATGTTAGTGACAGGGACTAATTTAAGGCGTTTTTCCATTACTTTCGGTAAATAGTACTTACATGATAACATAAATACGCATAAAATTTTCCACATTTCTTGTGGAAATTACAAACCTCAAAGCATTTCACAAGGATCCTGTATATTTAGAAATGGAAATTATTTCCAATTCTACTCTGCAAAATTAACCAAAGCTCATTCAAAGTAGGCAGAGAAAAATACAATTCAAGTATTACCACATTTTCAATTGGATTTAGAATTCGACTAGGCCATTCTAGCATATGCATGACCTCAGCTTATATTAGACCGTTTCATTATAGCTCTGGTAGTATTCTAAGAGCAGCTTTCCTGCTGGAAGATGAAATTCTTCCAAAATTCAAACTTCACCACAGTTGGATGTTCCAACGGGATAATGATCCCACAAACACATCAAATCTGGATTTGGAATGGATTAAGATGCTTACTTTATAAAATGCCACCGGGCACAATCATGCCCAACCAATGTGAATATGCATTTTATTTAACTAATTTATTGTCTGTTTGAATTATTAAGAGATGGACTGTAGCACAATAAACAAATTTAATAGATTTTGACAATTATTTTGAGTTAAAATATTGTTGCCATTTTTAATTTGGAGGTGGATATTTGTAGATAAGTATTTGTATATTTATTATCTTATGTATTATACAAACTCTATTTAAATTACCACATACATAAACATTTATCCGACTTGTTAATCGTGAAAAATGAAGTGAGTGAAACCGACTTTCCATGTCTGCAAGTCACAAATGAGGGCAGTATGCCGCCCCCTGCTGGACAACAACAGCCTGGCAGAAAGCAAATACTTGGATGCAGGTAAAGCACCCTGACATGTTTACAAATCGGCATATTCTGTATCTTAACGCTAATTTTCACATACATTCATTTTGTCGAGTATTTAATTTGCCTTTGTTTATGAAACGGATCGATTTCAGTATCAATGACGTATTTCGGAGGCGTAACTTCCGGTTTGGGAGTCATGGGACCAAATTGGAGTCTTATGACGCGAGACTTCCTGTTGTAGTCGGATGATACAGAGACACCGCGTTCAGTACAAACACATCACGGTGAGTAAAATTCACTTATATTACCTAATTATCTGTCAGATTGTCCTGGCCGCGCAGTTGCTTTCTTATTCGTGTCATTATGAAAAAAAGTTTAGTCTGACTCATCATGTCAGTTAGCAGAGATAACATTTTGTTTCTAAATTTAGCTGGTAACTTCACGCAAGAAGCGATTTTATCACTGTGTGTTTCAGATAATTAAATATAAAGACGGTGTGTTGAAGCATTTTGCGGCATTTCAGTGCCAGAATCATAGGGAGGAACTTGACAAAGAGGTGCAGTAAGCATGTGCCAGGTTTTTGACGATATAGGTATCCGATCTGATTGACCAAAGAACTATTTTTCTCAATTAAATTAATCTTAACTACATTTAAACTACAAAGCTAGGCCTTCATAATACACTAAGAGCAGATTCTGTATAAAGCAAGTTTGTGATGTGCGGGATCTGTATTCATTTTGTGATAATGCATATAAAAAAATGTGCAACTTTGGGGGTGAGAGGGAAAAGGGGATGAAAACCTTAACTTGTAACAGTCATAATCAGCTGATCTTATTCTCAAATGCATTTTAAGATCTGTCACTCCACCAGCAATCAAAGAACAACATTTTTGCCTAGCCATTCTTTTGCTAGATTCTTGTACATTTCATTCATATCCTCACCTGTATGACTCATTCACTGCTTTCAGTTGAAGCACACAAGTGGCTTGTTGCTAACGCTAACAAACGCCATATCCATACGGGCATGAGATTCTGTGGGTCTTGTTGTTCATGCGTCACACATTAAAGCTCTCCCACTGACTCTCTTTACAGATCCCGTCATTTTGTTTTTATTTTGTTGCAGATTGTGGGGATTGCTGCATCACCAAAATGCCTGAGACTAGATGTTATGCACAAGGATTTTACTATAGGGTGGAAGCCCTGGTTCTCAGTATGGTGGCACATAAAAACCTTCTGATTGGACAGTGCATTGTGGTTTCTCATGTTTGTTAAGTTAAACTATTCAGTCTTGGTCTTGTGCTACACCTCCAAGCTCTGTTCTGCCTTTTGTGTTCCTCAGATTTTAAGTCATCAGTTATTATTAGCAAAATTGTGTTTTGACATTTAGAGTAAATATGTGTTGACATTTTGAAATAGTCATGTATTCAAGTGCTAATTAGATGCCTCATACGCTTTCACTCTATTACATCTCAGTGGATGACATGACTCTACTTTAGCAGTCTTGTTTGTTTGTTTTGCAGGTACCACACAGTATGCATTTGCCGATTGAAGCTCCCACCTGCAGGTGATCTTCTCCACCTAATCAGCTTCCTCCTTCCGTCACCATGCCCACTGAACAACAGACCACTTCTCTACCCCAACCCAGCCCAGAGTGCTTTTCCTGGGACTATCGCCTTCAGCTCATCAGCCTTGGCTTTGGGTTCTACACGGCTGTATTTCTCCTCTCCCATCTCCTGTCACTAGCTCTGTGCTACACTTACAATGCTCTCCCAGCCAAAGAGAAGGTCTTCTGGAACCTGGCAGCCACTCGGGCAGCGTTTGGCATTCAGAGCTCTGTGGCAGGACTCCGGGCTCTGACTGAGGAGTCCGCGTTAAGCAAAGACAAAGTGATTGGCCAGGAAGACTGGTCATGGTTTCATGTCCTCACAGCTACCGGCTTTTTTGTGTTTGAGAATGTGGCACTACATTCATCTAGTGTCGTATTCCGGTCATTCGACTTGCCCTTGGCCACACACCATTTCTTCGCCCTGTCAGGATTTGCAGGTGCTGTGGTGTTTGATTCTCAAGGACACTTCCTGGCAATGGTTACTCTCCTCCTGGAGATGAGCACACCTTTTACCTGCATCTCCTGGATGCTGCTGAAGGTAAGAGCTTCATTGTTTTCTCTGTGTAAAGTCAGAGTACACATCACAAAAGATTTCTTTACTCAAGCCATATGAACTTATTGTTTATGCAAGGGTGTGTATGAGATTCTCATGGTTCAACAACATTGAACTACGGTGTTTTAAAAAGTAAAATTCTTGCAACCAACAGGGGATAGTGTAAATATTTGTATATATATATGAAACTATAAAGGATGAAATAAAAAATAATGAATGACTTCGTAGGTGTGTTTGTATTATTATAAACTACCCTGCCTTAGATAGCAGTTGCGGCACAAATGTCAGCAGCTGCAGAATCGGTAATGGCAACTTGTCTAGTGAAACACCATGTCATGATACTTCCACCCCAAAATTTAAAATGAGTTTTGCTGCTATGTGATTTTATTTAAAACTGAAAAGGAAAATATTTTGTTATTGGTATTTGTCATGCAAAGACTTATCTGAAAGTTTGTTTCGGATATTTAACCACTTATATACACAGGTATAATAACTTGATATTAGGCGAGTAGCTTCCATCCAGCTGCTGCAGTGGTTTTCCAAATACAGTTTTAAAGCCAGCTGCCCGTCAGTACACAGAAACATTAGGGGAAGGGCTGTGCTGTTTTCCTGTCACAACTGGAAAAAGCTCAGGTCAACTTGACACTTTCTCACATCTCTTCAAAGATTTTAAAAAAGTAAATGTTCCGTTTACTCTTTAAAACCTCAGTCTTGAAAACGGTCTCTGACTCACGCCAACTACATATTAAATGTTTTTTTTTTTTTTTCTTATCACATGGTTGGTTGCTGTTCCTTTGTCACCTAATTTTAAAACGTCTCGTTCTGTCACTGTGTTTCAGTTCTCATTCGGCCTTCAGGGACATGTGATTCTTAAACAGATAAAGTTCAGTGTTGTTTAAAAAAGGAAGTTCTGTACTTGGTGGCGTTGCCCAAACCTTTCTGTTCCTTTTCATAGCATGTTAACATGCAATGGATATTCATGTATAAATGGTTGTTTCCTTTCTCCTCATGTGAAAGGCTGGCTGGGCTCGCACTCTGTTCTGGAGAGCCAACCAGTGGGTGATGATCCACATGTTCCACTGCCGAATGGTGCTCACTTATTACATGTGGTGGGTGACTCTGACCCACTGGGAGAGGATGAACACCCACGTGGCGCTGTCCCAAAGGCTGATCTTCTTCTCTGGACTCGCTCTGCTCACATTCATCATCAACCCCATCTGGACGCACAAGAAGACCATGCAGCTGCTAAACCCTGTGGACTGGAACTTTGGGAACAAGCTGGCACCGGCTAATGACGTTGCAGAGAATCAGTCTGGGGTTTCTAGAAAACCCCATAAAAACTGAAAAGCATTTACAAGATCCCAATCTGTCGAACTTGCACTGCTTTTGTATTCCACTTCTGATAATTTATGTTTTAGATTAACACTTTTAAGAGTATGAAAAGCAATTTGGTTATATATGGTCGTGTGATCTAATCATGCTGCGTGTCGCAACAGTCTTCCATCATGTTGTTTTCAATAGATTTGTCTCAGTTACCATTTTTTTAATCTTATTTCGGGTAGAAAAGGGTGTATTTTTAAATCAGTTTTGTAGAAGATATCCAATACTCTCTGGGGAAAAAAATACAAATAAGATGTTTCCTCGAGCTCTGCAGCTGTCACACACGTACAGCAGAGTTTTTGTTTAATTTGAGGAAACTGACTTATTTGTCGGATCCATTAAAACCTAAATGGACAAATTAGTTTGCAGTCATCTTGGAGAGCAAGTCTTCCCACCTCAGTGCAGCAGAGATTTGTCAGTGCACACAAAAAGCTTTTCTTCTTTATCAATGGAAGAAAGCACTGGAATTGTTGCCTTCACAAAGGCCTTACTGTCTGAAATGGAGATGCAGTGTGACAAAAGTGAAACAACGATGACAACAGAACAAGCAAGTTATATTGAAACCAAGATGTATTTTTTTTAAAATGCTAAGAAATGTACTTTAAGCTGCAGAAGACGGGTATATCCAAAACTAACATTATTGCATATTTGCTTAGACTTGCTGCCTTATATTGGGTGTTTGCATAATGTTGCATCTGTCAAGGGGGATTTTTTTTTTTTATCTGTGCTACAAACATTTGCTGTGTTTTTTTTGTTTGATTGTTTGTTTGTTTTATGTAAAGATTAAGACTTGATCTGAAAATGTCCTCAAAATGGCATACCAACATTTAAAGGGGCAGTATTAAGTTATTTTGTTTGTTTGTTTGTTTTTTTCCAGTTGTACATGTTATAATGTCATTCCCTCATCAAAAATATACCTAGAATGTTGCTTTGATTCTTCACTCATTTGCGAAATCCTTTAATTTTCCATGGCAACCATTTGGGTGTAAAAAAACGCTTTGTCTCACCAAGTGCTGCCTTTCCCACACAACTTCTCCTCAAGCTTTTGCCTCACAGAACTCTTCTCTCCTGCGACTTCCCCACTCAGTTCCTTCAGACTAGCAGCAGCAGCAATTAGCAAACACCTGGTGAAGCCATGCATCTGCCGAGGTCTATGTATGAAACACTTGACAGTGCAATGCTCCTAAGAATGATGTCATGACTCGCTGAAGTCGGAGTCTCGGAAAGAGCAGGAGCTTCTTAAAGAGACCGAAGCCCAATTTCAAGACATGAGATTGTAAAGTCAAATTACTTTTAAGTCATGTTTGATACAGCATTGTATAACAAATGAAGGGAACAGTTATTTCATTGTGCTATAAAATATCAATATATCTCTAGAAAATGCATAATACTGCCCCTTTATATGCCAAAATCATGGTCATTATAGACTATATGTAATTGCCTTTTTCAATTATATCAATATACACTGGAATAAGAAATTCTAGCAGATATTGATTATTCTCTTCTGGATTGAATGTGTTTTGATTCATGTCAAAACACAATATTGATTTGGTCTAGATAGTTTCAACTGGAAACACAGGATCTTGTGTCTGTGTGGTGTATGAATATGACTTTCAAAATAAATAAAAAAAAGATTTCTGATATAAAGCATATTTCTTTTTTTCTTTTTACTTGAGTGGAGGTTTGTTTTGCTATTGAGCTACTGTAGGGATGACGCTAATGGGATGAGTAATTGCCTACCTATCCAGACATTTTAGGCTTGAGTCCTGCTTCCTCCTGCCTCATCCTGCTGCATACCTGGGCAAGTCCTTTGACTCCAAGTTACCTACCGATCTGCATTTCTGTTTTTGAATGTGTTCATTTGTGAGTGCTGTTGGATCACAACACTAGATGGCACCGTTGGAGTTACTTTACCCTGCTGCTCATTTTCCAAACATTCCCTTTAACAGTCGTATGTGTGTGAGTATATCAATAAAATTTTCAACGAAAAGTAATGTTAGAATTCAAAAAGTGAGTCTGGTTCAACTTATAAATGTACTAAATTCACTATTAATTTTCAAGCATTTCTTTCTGTTAGTAATGACTATATGGGTTATGTCTAATGAAAACCCAGAAATAGATTTCTTAGAAAACTATAAAAATACATAAGACCATTAAAAAAAAAGACTTTTAGTATGAAAATGTTGACCTACTGAAAAATATGTCCACATACTGTACACAGACACTCAACATTTTGCCGAGGCTCCTTGTGTTTGAACTACTGTAGTTACTGTAGCTATGCAGCATGACATGATGGCAACCTATGGGTCTGCTGAGGTGTTGTGGAAGCCCATGTTGCTTTAGCCTTCATCTCATACTGTCTCTCATCTTAATTTTAATAGGTAGTGGCATTTTAGCAGTGTGGGTAGGTCCTTATGGAAAATCAAATCAGCATTTCCATAAAATTTGATCATCAGAAACAAATCAAGTTTTCGATTAATCCATTCAGATTAACCCTGTGTGTTGCTAAATTCCACATTTAATGCATTATGTGCATGAAGCACTCAAAACAATAGGACTCTGCGTTTATCAAAAGTAGGCCTATCGAAGGCCTATCAAAATTATTATCCTTTGTTCATATTTAAAATAAAAACAAAATCAAACACAAAAGTTATGCAAGTTGCTCAGGACTTTACATCTTTTTCGTCTGAGAAATCTGAAGTCAAGTGGGAAGTTTTCTACCCGCTGATTCGTCCTACAGGAAAGAGCTTTGGAATGTTGATTGAAGTCACGTCAAGCCAATCACAGCTCGTCACACATCAGTCGTCCACCAATCGGCTGTTGACTGGAGGTAGAGAGGTTTCATGGATAGAATAAGCTGCTAACATCGGGAAGAGCCGAAAAGAGGGTTGAAAAGTGGATGTGTTGATGCGAGACAAGTTGTTTTACAAATGTGTTCAGCTTAAAACGTTTCTGTAGTATCGTGGAGCTATACGGGAATTGGATTATGGGAAGGCAATAAAATGGTGAGTTGGAGACATTTTTCTAACTTTATGAGAAAGTTTAACAACTCTTTTGTCGTACTTGTTAAGTATCAGTTAACATTAGGCTGAAAAAGGCATACAAATTGATATTTTGCGTGGAATACTAACCCCTTTTTTTCAAGTGTTAAACAGAATTGTGAAATGAAGGTAACGTGGCGTCTTAGTTAACAGTGATGTTGCCAACTCTGTCAGCCACCAATATAGCATGCATTATAATTTAAACTCTCTTTGCCATACACATTCTTTAATTAGCTGGTCCTAAACAAGCAGCCTTAGGAATGTATGTTTTACTCAGAACAACATCAGTTGCGTTTGGTATTTGTTTAACATAGAACAGATGGACGTTTACTACCGCTTTGATTTTCTACAAATCACTTGTCACTTGTTTGTTTATGCAGAAACTATCTCTTGAGTGTTCAGTAAGTAGCTTGTCCTGTTTTAAACTACAGAATGAGGGCAGTTTTTATTCCTAATAATATAGTAGTGAATATATATTAAAAAAAATCATATGGACCTTAAACTAGCAGTTTCCCTGAGATGCAGCTCAGCTACAAATTCAAGTAGTCATGCATGGCATTCCTCAGTCAGGGAGCACTGCACAGATTTGGTCAACTGGAAGTTCACTCTAAACAAGTTGTAAAACCGTGGCTTAAGGTAATTTTTTCCCTTAGTCACAACTTTTCAGCTGTTGTAAGCTGTCTGAAGATGGTTTAAATATAAATATCTCTTTGGTTTTGTTGTGCAATGTGTGGTGTCTTGCATGTAAAGCTTATTCTGCCAGGACAATGCTGACTTGGTAGTTGGTGGGAGTCACACTCTCATGCTAGTATACAAAACTCCACATGGGTGATTTGTTTAACAAATAGGCAGGGCGACCCTGCTGCAGTGCTTTCTTTAATGACACCTGAAAAAAGCTGCTGGCAGTGCAATCTGAAAGCTAAATTTAACGTGCTTGCATGAAAGTGCTTCTTCTGTTGTACAGGTGCATCACATTGAATTAGAATATCATCAGAAAGTTAATTTGTTGCATTTACTAAATTCAAAAAGTGAATCTAAAACTTGATAATGGTTCATTAAATGGTTCATTAAACACAGTAATATATTTGAAATGCTTAATGTTAATTTTGATGATTTTGGCTTGTAGCTGATGGAAAAAAATGTTGCATAAGAACAATCAAAAAGCATTTTTAACATATCAGCCTCATTTTGCTATGTACTGTAAAGTATATGCATTAAATATTTGTTTGGGTCTCTTTTACCTTTTATCAGTGCAAATTGGCATTGAAGCAGTCAGCCTGTAGCACTGCCACATGGTGAAAGAAGCCTGGGTTCCTACATTAGGGACCGTTCCACTCATTCGCCTTGTTTGGGCTGGTCTCTGTCATCTTTCTCTTGACAACGCTGCATAGATTCTCAATGGGGTTTGGATTAGTTAAATTGGCAGGCATGCAATTTAGAACAAGACAGTAGTCTTGTTAGTCTGTATTCTGAACATAAATACATGTGTGTGTTGTCTTTCCAAGAAGTGACTCCAACCCTATCCCCGTCCTTGTGAATCTCACCCAAACAGCTGAATGAACTTTGCTCCTTAATTCTCTCAACGATGCAGTCATCTCTGTAGCTTGTGTACCTTTTTGTGCAGGATGTTTTCCTTCCACCTAACTTTCCTTCAGTAGATTGGGTTACAGATTTGTATGACTAGTAAGCTTCTTAATGATTGTGCAAGATGAGACATAACATTTTTTTGTAAAGCTTAATTTTTTTTTTAATAATCTCATGTAATACTCCAAATTTCTGTGAAAACTGAATTTTGGATCTTCATTAGCCATAAACCATGATATAATATAATCAAACATAATATAAGTAAAAGCTGCAGGATGTGTGTCCTTAGCTGCTGTTATAGTTTGTAAAAATAGATGCTTTTTCTTGGAAAAATAACAGTTTTGGGAAATGTTCAAATTCTTCACTGTTATGAGGCAACAACTCTACTTGGCAGTAACAACTCATGCTTTTTGTTTTCCATGGCAAAAGCTGGAGGATGCCAGAGTTCTCATCAGTTCGGAGGCGTGCCATTCATTTTTAGAAAGTCCACCATGTAGTAACTGTCCAACTCATCATCCAGTCAATGATCCACTCAGATAAAACGGGGATTAGAAAAATATTTATTCAGCAGCTGGGAAAGAGAACTCCTGGCTCTTCTGCAGGTGCATGTGAGAAATCACACAGTAGATGCTTGTTTAACAGCTGGGAACATGCTTATATTTAGAATCAGAATGAACCCAAGAACATGACCGTTAAATATGGTAGGCATTGTAAATCACAGCCTGCCATACCTTTGTTTTTAGCTCCTTATATTTTCACCAATCCAGTCTTGGCTTTCTCCATTCTTCCAGAATCAGGATTTGGACTTCAAGTATGGTGATGTGTCGAATTCCTGCTTTCCCATCAAAATCCGTTCACCTTCAGCTAGGCAACAAAAGCTCTTTGGATTTGCTCCACACACA